AGGAACCGCTTGTGGGAGCTGGGGGGGCTGCAGGGAGGTGCCGGTGCTGCCAGCAACAGTCCCGGGGTTGGTGGGCACCCTACGGCGTGTCCGGTGGGGCTCGCAAAGCCCCAGGAACAGGCACGGAAGCCAGAGCAGCAGCGATCCCACACGCAGCCGGATGCACCGGGAGCTCGGCCGGCACGGATGCACACCATGCCAGGGCCAGCTGGGGCGAAGCCGGGGCAGAAGCCAAGTGTGGGGAGGGAGGGGAACTCCACAGCCGGCAGCCATCCCGTGGGACACCGGCACGGGGGCTTCTTGGCTTGGGAGCACTCAGAGGCTGCGGAGCCGGCAGTGCCGGAGCTGCCTGGAAGACAGCCGGCTGGGAAAGTCCTGTGTACCACGGCCCGGGCAGTGCCGGGATGGGAAGGCCGAGGTTGCCGGTGTTTCCGGGCTCTGGCCACCTCCTGTAAACACGTCCCGGGACGGGAAGGGGTGGCGGGCACTCACCGTCCGTCCCCCCCCCTGCTTCCCGTCTCTGCAGGACCGGAGGAATTTGGCCTCTGTCCCCGCTCCCGCGGCTCGCAGCCAAGCGACGTCCGGCCTCGACCTGGCTGTGCCATGCTGGGATGAGCCCTCCGGCTTCCTCGCAGCCCCGGGTGGTGGGGGGACAGGGGGGTCGGTGCCGTGCGAGTCCGGGGCTGTGTGTGTGCACCGGGACACCTGCACTTGCACCCCCGTTGTGCACACACAGCAGGCTGGGGGTGCACAGCGTGCGTGTGTGCACACCGGGGTGTGTGCAGGAGTTATGTGTATGGGGGTTATAGAGTGTGTGTGTGTGCTATGACACGCGTGTGCCTGTGTGTGTACAGGGGTTATAGAGTGTGTGCATGTGTGTGCATGCTGGGACATGCATGTGCTTACGTGTGTACAGGGGTCACCACGTGCGTGTCCGCACGCACACCGTGCCGTGGGTGTACCTGTGTGTGCGTACAGGGGTTAGGGAGGGAGCGTGCATGCATGTGCGCACGCTGGGACACGCGTGTGCCTGTGTGTGTACGGGGGTTACTGTGTACGTTCACGGGTAGTGAAGGGGGTGCGCATGCAGGGATACGTGTGTGTGTGTGCAGGGGGGGCACAGGGGCTCTGGCTGGGGGGTGCAACGGTGGGCACCAGTATGTGGTGCCACTGTGTGTGCCTGTGCGCGGGCAGCAGAGGGGCTCCCGCCACCACTGCCCCGGCCACATGGCACGTGCCATCCCCGCAGCCACCCGGGTGCCACGGATTCCTCCCGGGCAGTGACCCAGGGCGGCTGCGGGTGGCAGAGCTCTGGGGCTGCCACGGTGGGTGTCCCCCGCCGGTGTGGGGTCACCAGCTCCTCCACGAGGGGAGGCCGACTGGGCTGTGCTGGAGCTGGCGGTGCTGGGGGGTCCCTGTTTGCGCACCCTGGGGGGATCCTGGAGGGGGGGCAGCAGGGTCAGCACCCCTGGGACCCCCGGGACCCACACATCCCTCACAGTGCCTGTGCTTGTGGGTTGGCGGTGGGCTTGGCGTGGGGCTGGCAGGAGCAAATGGTGGGGCTGCCAGCCACGGTCACGCAGTGCCATGGGATCCCCTCTGCCTGGGGAGACCAGCAGAATGGGGGGGGACACGGGGGTCTCCCAGCCCCACTGGTTTGGGGTGGGAAGGGGCTGGTGTGGGGCTGCAGCCCTGGCCGTGGCAGGCAGCTCTTGCCAGCCCTGCCGCCGCGGCACGATGCCGGAGCATGGAGTACGTGTGCGGCTGCAGGTAGCAGCTCCCCTTTCCTGGCTGCCGCCGCCTCCTGCTCCTCCTCCTCCTCCTCCTCCTCCTCCTCCTCCTCCTCCTGGCTTGGCAGGCCCAGGGCCCAGGGCAGAGCGACCGAGAGGGGTTGGCAGGGCTGGGGGGGCTGCCTCCCCCTGGCCCACCATGGCACCCCCGGCACGGCCAAACCCCCTTTACCCCTGCTATCAGGGTGCCTTGCAGCCCCCCTCCCCCGTGCCTGGGGTGCCGTGGCTCTGCCCGCTGCTGCCTGCTGAGCGTTGCCCCCTCCCGCTGACCCCGCTGCTGCTCTCTTGCAGGGAGCCCCCGGACCGGAGACCCTCCCCAGCCTCGCTCCTTGGGGACCACCCGGGACCGCAGCTCCCGGCCCTGCTGCAGCCCGCCAGCAGCCCTCGGCACAGACTGCTCGTCCCACGCCATGGCCCGAAGCTCGCCCCGCGGCACGGACCCCAGCTCACCCCCCGGCACGGTGCCCGCCCGGTTCCCCCGCACAAACCGCTCATCCCGCGGCAGAGCCCGAAGCTCGCCCCGCGCCACGGACCCCGGCACGGTGCCCGCCTGGCCCCCCAGCACGTCCGCCGCCTCGTCCTGCGGCGTGGCTCCCGGCACCCGCGGGGCCGCCGGCACGCGTCGGGGCGGCTGCAGCACATGCAGCTGCTGCGGGTGGGCTGCGTGCTGGGCACCTGCCAGGTGCAGAACCTGAGCCACCGCCTCTGGCAGCTGATGGGCCAGTCAGGCCGCCAGGACTCGTCCCCCATGAACCCCAACAGCCCCCATAGCTACGGGTGAGGGGGGGGGTGTCGGTCGCTGCACTAGACTGCCTGGCCCCGTGCCCCCCGCTTTGCCCCGCGGGACCCCCCACTAAAGCGCTTCCAGAGTCAGATGTGGCTGGGTTCCCTCTGCACCTTTCTGGGGGTGCCCGGTGCCCCCCGGGCAGAGCCCGGCTCTGGCCACGGCCCCACCAGGGACGTGGGGCTGGTGGGAGCATGCCCAAAGAGGGGCTCTGGTGCCCTTGCCAACCGGCGCCCCGTGGAGCGGAGAGGACCACGGGCATGGGCCGGGGAGCCGGTGGCCCATGGCGGCTGGCGGTGGCCCGACTGGCCTGGGCTGTTGACGGGTCCAAGGGGCGGCAGGGGATCCTGCTGACCACAGCAGCGCCGGCGCCTTGTGCAAGAGCATGGGGCCGAGCCCCTGGCCACGCTCCCGCCTGACTCAGCAGCTCAGCACCCTGCCACAGCATGCGCGGCCACCGGTGGGGTGAGCCCCGCTGCAGCACCCCCACGGCACCCCACCCCACACCCCTCCTGTCCCTGCCCAGGGTGGCATGGCTGCGTGGGTGGGGGTCATGTGAAGACAGAGTGGGGGGACCCCACTCCAGCCAACCTCCCCCAGTCAGGGTGGGGGCACAGGGCAGCCCCCAGCATCTTCCCCACTGGGGTCCCAGGTTGGGCTCGGCACCTGGGGGGGTCCTTTCCCAGGATGGAGGCTGGGTTGCTGTGGGGGGGTCCTGTCCTCCTCGGAGACGATGCTGTCCCCTTCCCCCGGCACCCTGTCATCCCCCTCCAATACCGCCCACAGCCCTGCAGTGAGACGAGGATCAGGTGCTGGTGGGCACTGGGGAATGGCAAACTGTCCCTGAGCATGGTGGGGGGAGAGGAATGGCCGGGGTCCCGCACCCCGCTTCTGCCCCATCCCCTCCTCTTTCCTGTCCCTGCCTCTGTCCCCTCCTGTCCCCTGGTGCAGCCTCGGGCATGGTGTGGGCAGGCTGGGGACAGCCCCTGGCCCCACTGGTGACAAGTTGTGGGTTCAATGGGGACTGGGATGGGGGCCCATGGAGGGGGACAAGGGGACCCTGGGTATCCCTGTCACCCCACACCGTGACACCCCAGGAGTGCTGGTGTTGCCCCAGCAGAGCTGTGACCCCTGTGGCCTGGCAGGACGGGGATGTGCCGCCCTAGTCACCGGCCCGGACCCCCATGCTGGGCTGCCCCTCAGCCCTGGCACAGGAACGGGCAGCTGGTGGCAGGGGTACAACGGGGATCCGATCCAGTCCTCCATGAGGAGGGCAGGTAGACCCCAGCCCGTCGGCACCTTGATCCTTCCTGCCAGCACCCTTGTCCCCTCCTGCCAGCACCACCCACACCCCTCCCATGAGTACCCGCAGACCCCCCCCCAAGGACCATCTTCATCCCCTTCATTGCTCCTGGGAGCACTTTCCTCATCCCCCTGCCAGGAGTACCCCTGTGCCCACAGGAGACCCCAGCCCCAGGAGCACCAGCCTGCAGCAGTACCCCAGCTCCTCTCTCCTTCCCGGGGGTCCCGGCGCTTGCTTGAGCCAGCTGATGGGGCAGGACAGGACCAGGATAGGGTGTCCCATGGCTGTCACCAGAGGTTCCTGGGCCGGGGCCCCCGCCACAGGCAGGAGCTCTGCCTGCAGCCCCCCGGACCCAATGCTGCCCATTTGGCAAAGGGGTGAGGGACCCAGCGCCGTCCCATGGGGACGGGCGGCCGCAGCTCAGTGCAGTGCTGCCAAGGGATGCATGGGGGCCAAGGCCTTCACCCCCCCATCCCTTGGGTGCTCCCCAGGCTGTAGAGGGGCTGCACTGAACCCTGTGGGTGCCCGGGCCGGATCCTGCCCCACAGCAGCGCCGGAACTGGGCTGGGCAGGCACCACAGTGTGGAGCACTCCCCTTCTCCTCTTTTCAAGCAAAAATCTGATTTTGTGCAGAATAAAATGTGTGAAGAGGGGTCACGTCTGGTGCCGGGCTGGGTGATGTTCCCACAGGAATGGGGCATGGAACGGGTGGGTGGGTGAGGGGCTGCCTTGGGCAGGGTGTGGGCACCCGGGTCCCATGGCCACTGGCGACAGAAGACGACCAGCACCGGCTGCTTCCCGCAGAGAGCGCAGGGACAGCCATGCAGTGGGGACAGCAGCGAGTGTAGGGACAGCAGCGAGTGCAGGGACAGCCATGCAGCATCCGTCACAGCAGCAATGCCCGCCTGGCACCCACAGCCGCATGGGGCCAGTGGGTCTGGGCAGGAGCCAGGCAGGAGGAGGATGATAAGGAGGAAGATAAAGGGGAGAGATGCGTCAGGGGCTCCTGTGGGAGGGTACAGGGACTGTGCTGGGGGGCTTCACCCCTAGTGCCAGCGGCTAATGGGCACAGCAGGGGCTGCCCAGGGCCCCTGCCCATGGGCACTGTGCCCGCTGCTGCCCACTCCTGCCTCTGCCCTGGCACGCAGGAACCACAGGGGAACAGGAGTGACGTGGCCATGGCACGGCACAGCACGGCATGACAGTGGTTCAGCGCACACGTGCGTGCACCAGCCGCACGCCCGCCGCCTGGCAGGACCTCATGGCCCCCGGGAACGGGACGTGCCCGGCCGAGATGCCCTGCCAGCCCCCTGGGGCAGCTCATTGCCGAGGGCTTGCTCCACACGCTTACAACATCGGCAGTCGCTAAATTTAACGTTCCGCAAGGCACAGGGGTGGCTGGTGCCCGTCCCACTAAGACACGGATCCTGTAGGAGCACAGTGGCCCTGGGGCCATCAGTGGCCGGACAGTGGTTGCCAGTGCCATCAGGGCACAAGGTCCAGTCCTGCTCCCCGTGTCCCGACAGGGGGGTCACTCTGTGGCCCCGTCCTGTGCGGTCACTGCGGCCAGTGCGGGCAGTGGGGCAGGGGCGTCGCTTTGCCCCCACGAGGAGCCCGGCAGCCCGGGGCCACCATCAGCCGCTGGCAGGGTCACCTGTGGCCTGTGCTCCCCAGCTTGGGGGCCGGGGGTCCCCAGCTCAGGGGGCTGCAGCGGGGGGGTACCCAGCTCAGGGGCCGGGCCAGTCTCCCTGCCAGCCCCTGCCCACCCTCGCGGAGTAGCATCCCCCCAAGCCCGGTGCCGTGGGCTCAAACATTAACCGGGGGCAGGTTAACTGGTGACCGATTGCCCCCGCACCAGCTGGCGCAGGCTCAGCCGCCCCCACGCCGCCCCCCGCGGGGATAAAGCCGGGGGTCCCGGCGGCCGCCCCAGAGCCCGTGTGCCCACCGCCCCTCGCCACTGCCGGCATGAGGAGCCTCCGGGCGGTGAGTACGGGCAGGCGGGACCCAGAGCCCCACGCCTCGGGGTCAGACCCATCTGCATCGCCCCACACGTCGGGGTCAGACTCCTGCACGTCACCCCACACCTCAGGGCTGGCCCCCAGACGCATCGCCCCGCGCCTCGGGGTCAGACCCCACTGGCATGTCCCCACGTGTCGGGGTGCAGGTCCGCCCGGGTACACACAGGCAGCACGTGCAGCCCCCCTCTGTCCCTGGGGCCGTGGGGCACAGCCCCACAGCATCGCCCCCCCGAGGGGTCTGTGCCGACAGGCTGTAGCCCTCAGGGACCCCCCACCCCAGCTGTGTGCAGGTTGGGGGCCCGCAGAGCTCAGCACTGGGGCTGTTGCCTCTTGGGGGGGTGGAGGAGATCCCCCAGGACCCTCGGCAATGTCCTCCCTGCGGTGGGGGTGCCGGCCCCACGGGGGACCCAGCCCCTCTGTGTCCCTGCCCCACGTCCATCCCAGCCCCACGGGGTACCCAGCCCCACAGGGAACAAGTGAACACTCGCCCCTCGGCAGGCAGGGAAGTGGTCCCCCCCCAGGCAGGCGGGCAGCGCCTGTCCCTGGGGGGCTGCAGGGTGTGCGGGGTGTCATGCAGCACCCACCGGCTCAGCCGCACCCACAGACCTCGCTCGGGGGGCTGCGGGGGTCCGAGGCAGCGACTCCTGAGAGCTGCTGCCCTAAACCAGCAGAGCCCCGGGCCAGGCCCCCCCTCCGGCAGCGCGGGCAGCTCCCCCCAGCCCCAGCTCTGCACCTCTATGCGACGGCCCTCACTCCGCACCAGAACGGGGCAGCACTGTGTGATGCTGTGCAGTGCTGTGCAACGCTGTGCAGTGCTGTGCAGTGCTGTGCGGTGCTGCGCAACGCTGTGCAGCGGTGTACAACGCCGTGCAACACTGTGCGATGCTGTGCAGCGGCGTACAACGCCATGCAATACTGTGCGATGCTGTGCAGCGCCGTGCGATGCCGCGCATTCGGGGCTTTCCTTTGGAGATGGCGTGTCTCCTTAACCTTCACGGAACACCTTGTCCCTGGGTGTTTTCGCTCTCTGTCCCACGGCTGCCGGACCAGGCGCAGGATCCGGCCTCGCTGACCGAGCCCGACCTTTCTCACTGCAGGACGCTGACCCCTCTGAGGAGCCCAAGTCCAGCAAGGCCAAGTCCGAGTACCGAAACTACACGGTGAGCCCAGCTGGGCAGGTCGTGCTGCCACTGGGACAGGCGGTGACCCCGAGGCAGCGGGGGGGGGGTCCCCCTGCACCAGGCGGGGCGTGGGGGGGGTCCTGCTGCACAAGGCTGGGTGCTGAGGGTCGGGTGGTATGATGCCACACTGCGGGGGATGCAGCTGCACCCCACCGGCCGTGCTGGGGGTCTTATCCACTGCTGGGAGAGGCCGAAGGAACCCAGTGGGAGCTCTGCTGCCCCAGGCTGGGAGGGATGCTGGGGGGGCTCCCCCCACCCCACCGGAACCCCCCAGGAGCCTGACGCTGAGCTGCAGGAGGGGAAGCTGCTGGACCGTGTCTACAACACCTACCTGCTGATGCACACCCACCAGACCGTCGGCTTCGTCCGCAAGAAGGTGCGAACCCCCCCACCGGGGCCATCCTTTCCCACCTGCAGTCCACCTGCAGCCCCCCCCCACCCCGCACCCAAGCGCTGCAGGTCCTGCCCTGGTACACCAGCCTGCTTGGGGGGCACCCACTCCCCACATGGCTCTGGGGAGGGTCCCGAGGGGTTTCGGGGTGGCAGCGCAGGTTGGGGAGGGAGTCACCATCCCCAGTGCCTGCCGTCTCCGCAGAGCGCCGAGTACGGGACCTGCTCCCTGCGCAAGATGAGCGCCATGGAGGCACTGGAACTGCTGGACCAGCTGGTGGACGAGTCCGACCCGGACGTGGACTTCCCCAACTCCTACCATGCCTATCAAACCGCAGAGGGCATCCGCCGGGCCCACCCTGACAAAGGTAGGGCCATTGACGCCCCCCGCCACTGACACGGAGCCCGTGTGGGGCCGTGTCCCACTGGGGGTGACAGCCCCGCTTGCCCCCAGACTGGTTCCACCTCGTGGGGTTGCTGCACGACCTGGGGAAGGTCCTGGCACTATTTGGGGAGCCCCAGGTAAGCGGGACAGTGGGGAGGGGGCACACCAGGGTATGGGGGATCCCACTGGCCAGGGACCCCTCCTTGGGGACCCCCTCCCGGGCCAGTGGGATGCCTGTCGCACCCCTCTGCAGTGGGCCGTGGTGGGGGACACCTTCCCGGTGGGCTGCAAGGTGCAGAGGTCCGTGGTCTTTGGGGACTCCACCTTCCACGACAACCCTGACACCACAGACCCCCTGTACAGGTGAGGCTGGACCCCCGGGGCAGGCTGCCGTGAGGTGCTGTGCCCCACAGCCGTGTCACAGCTAGGGAAGGGGCTGGGGGTACGGGGAGGGGTCCAGCCCCAAGCCCCCAACCCGACTCCATCCCCAGCACCGAGTACGGGATGTACCAGCCTCACTGCGGCCTGGAGAACGTTCTCATGTCCTGGGGACACGACGGTAAGGGCTGGGGGGGTCCGGCCAGGGTCCCCTCCTTGGAGCAGGGCCCTTTGCCCCCAAATGGGGCACCGATGCACCTGGGGTGGCTGCACCCCTCCCCGGCCCCCTTTGCTGGGGGATTCGGAGCTGGAGCCCTTTGCATGGGGCAGAGGGGGGTGTGCTGCAGCTCCTGGGGCGCCCATCCTGCATGGGGGGGGTCCAGCCCCAGCCGCTCGGGCTCATCCCTGCATGTCCCCCCTCTCTCCCCAGAGTACATGTACCGAGTCATGAAGTTCAACAACTTCGCCCTGCCCAAGGAGGTAAGGGCTGGGGGACGACGACGCACATGTGGGGCTGACACCCCCCCCCCCCCGGGCG